TTTTTTATGTAGTGCTGATGATCAAACCCAGGGTGCCTCATACATGCTAGGCAAGTGCTCTACCACTGAGCCACAACCCCAGCTCCCAAGTCCTTTTTATTTTAGGACAGTTGCTTAAGGCCTGCTTAAGTTGCTGAGACTGGCTTTGAACTTGTGATCCTCATGCCTCAGTATTCCAAGTTACTGGGATGATAGGTTCATGCCACTACACCCAGCAGTTTCCTCACTTTTAAACTGGGAAAACACAACTTCCTCACGGTGTTTTGAGGATTACAGGTAAGATATAAAGCCCCTGACACACAGCATTTAGAAAAATAACTTCTGTTTGTTTCAAGAATCCCAAAGACTTAAAATGGAGACAAAAAACTCAAGGTCTTCCTAAATTACATGACAATTAAGAGTTAGTGAGACCAAACCATAGTTGCACACCCTAAAATTCTGAAAACTTGTCTTAGTGGTGGCAGAGGGAATGTCTGCCAGTCTAACTTCTGAGTTGGCAGAGTCATCCTCCCATATCACAGTCCTACACTTCCAGACTCCCTTGCAGCAAGGGCACGACACACATACGACTCAATCCTGGCTGACGGGGAGCTTCCAGGGAGGCTAGCTGTCTCCAGAATCATCTGACTGATGTGGAGGGTGGACAAGTCAAAATGACAAATTGCTGTTTGTCAAGAGCTGCCTGCTGTGCTAGGTGCTTCCACAATGCACTGTTTCCAACTATGAAACGATATGTTCCAGGCTGGGGTTATGGCTCAGTGGTATAGCGCTGCCTACAACGTGTAAGGTGCTGGGTAAGATCCTCAGCATCACACAAAAATAAATAAATAAAAATAAAGGTATTGTGTCCACTACAACTTAGGTACAGTATTTTTATGGGTTTCACTATTAATCCTAATATTCTCTATGTGTTCACTACCTGTTCATACACTATGCTACCAACATCCTTTTTTTTTTTTGCTATGTTGTTCATGCTGGCCACAAATTCTTGGGCTTAAGTAATCCTTCTGCCTAAGCGTCCCAAGTGCGTGGGACTATGGGCACACCTATATTACTGGGCTAAGCTTCTTCTTCTTTTTTTTTTTAATTTAAAAGAAAACATTCTATTCATTCATTCAATATGAACCTGCTGAGTTTCTTTTTTTTTAATACACCTTTCCTACTTTATTTATTTTTTAAAGAGAGAGTGAGAGAGAGAGAATTTTAATATTTATTTTTCAGTTATCGGCGGACACAACTTCTTTGTTTGTATGTGGTGCTGAGGATCGAACCCCGGCCGCATGCATGCCAGGCGAGTGCGCTACAACTTGAGCCACATCCCCAGCCCTGGGCTAAGCTTCTTTTAGTTTTCTGTTTGTGGTATCCTTTCGCTTTCTGAGCACATGCCTATTTATCTATCTACTTATTTATGGTGCTGAGCATTGAACCCAGTGCCTAATATGTGCTAGACAAGTGTTCCACCACTGACCTACAACTCCAGCCCTCTGAGCATGTTTAAGACAGTAGATTTTAGATATTTGTCTAGTCAGGGCTGGGCTTGCAGCTAGAGCACTTGCCTAGCATGTGTGAGGCACTGGGTTCAATCCTCAGCATCACATAAAACTAAATAAATAAAACAAAGGTACTGTTGTCCATCTACAACTTCAAAAAAATTTTTTTTTTGTCTAATAAATCCAATGTCTGTGTATCCTTAGGGGCGATTTCTGTCCAGTGCTCTTTCCTGTGAATGGGTGAAACTTTCCTGTTTCTTTGTATGTCTGTTAAATTACTGTTTAAACTACGTATTTTGAATATTATAATGTGGAAATTCTGGAAATCAGATTGCTTCCTGCAGGGTTTGCGATTTAGTAACTTTTCTTTCTTTTACCATACTGGGGATAAACCAAGGGGTGCTCTTGTCACTGAGCTACAGCCCCAGCACTTCTGTTTATTTTGAGACAGGGTATTGCTAAATTGCTGAGGATGCCCTTGAACTTCTCCTGCTTCAGCCTCCCAAGTCACTGGGATTACAGGCATGTGTCACTGTATCTGGCTTGAGAATCTTGATTCCTTCTGCTCTTACCTTCCATATCTATCAGCTACCAAGTCTTACCAACTTACTTCTTAAATTTCTTAAACCCATCCTCTCTTACACAATACTGCCATCCTAATCTGGGGCTATGTAATGGAATGGGCTGGAACTACTGCAGTGGCTTCTAAATGTTCTCCTTAACCCTAGTCTTATTTTCCTTAAAGCTATTTGCCACACAGCCATCAAACCAATGACTCTGGCCATGTTGTTTGCTTGCTTGAAAGCATTTAATAGTGGACCAAGCAGACACTTTGTGGCTTTGGCTGTGTGTACAATGTTTTTATGGGTTTCACAATATTAACGTGAGAAGCACAGTACCTCTTATGAAATATTCTCACCAAAACATATTGAATATGAACCTAATCAAGTCTTTAATCTAAATTCTAATTTACAGAAAATACAGAGGACAGAAGAACAAGTTAAATGACACCTGAAAAAGCAGTCAACATTAGAAGGTATTTTACAAGTCAATGGTCATTGTTCTTCATAAGTCAATGGCATGATAAGCATTGTGTTGAGGAGAGAGGATACCCTTATTATAAAAGAAATTCAAGAGAAATGATTACCCATGCAATGAGCAGACCTTGTTTTGAATCCTGATCTGACTAAATCAATTGTGGAACATGTGGTAAAGCTATTCTGAGACAACTGGGAGAGCTATAAACTTGGTTATGAGATATTATCAAAGACTTATTGTCAATTTTGTTAATGATTATAATAAATTATTAATGTGATTTGTTATGTAAGGGGAAAAAAGTAAGCATGTAGGGATAAAATGACAAACTGTCAAGGAATTGGATTTGCTTGAAAATACTACAGCAGTTTAAAAATAAGGAAAAAAAAAAGGAAATGAAGCAAAAGGAAATGAAGCAAATGGGGCAAAATAATGATAACTGTTGCACTATTATTTCTATCATGAATTCTTAACAATTTTCCTAAGAAAAGTAATATGAAAAAACAAACAAACCAACAACCCCCCCCCCAAACAAAAACAAACACTGACAGAATGCAGACCTGTCATGTTTTTTTTATTATTGACAGGTTGAGGTTCTTAGTCTGATTCTTGAGGCTGGGTGCTTAATTTAAAAAAGTTTATTTAGCATACAGTTCTAGAGATTCAAAAGCACTGATGGTGGCATCTGTTCAGCTATGGTGAGGGCCTTGTGGTAGATGATATCACAATGGCAGGAGCATTTGCAGAAGAGAGCACATGGTGAAACAGGAAGCCAGACTTGTTTATTTTTTTTAATTTTTGGGGCACCAGGGATGGAATTCAGTGTTTTGCATGTATTGGACATATGCTCTACCACTACATCCCCAGCACCCCATGGCAGTTTCTTTTTTTTAAAAAAAAATATATTTATGTTTTTTAAATTGTAGTCAGACACAAACTTTATTTTATTTATTTATTTTTATGTGGTGCTGAGGATTAAACCCAGTGCCTTGCCTATGCTAGATGAGAGCTCTACCTACCTTCTCTCATCAATGGGGTAAGGGCTATATGGTAAGGAAAGGCAAGCTGAAGATCCCAAAGCACCCCTTCTCTAAATACTAGATTTCCATAGAAAAAAAAATTTTTTTTTGAGATTGGTGGCACCATCAAAGACTTTAAAGATGCAGTGTTAGCCAGATACGGTAGTGCAGTGCAAGCCTGTAATCCCAGTGACTCAAGAGGCTGAAGCAGAAGGAATGCAATTCTAAGCCAGCCTGGGCAACTCAGTGGGACCACTTCAAAAAAGAAAAAGAATGATTGATGGAGCTCAGTAAAGTGCCTCTGGGTTGTTGAATCCATAGTTAAAAAAAAAAAAAAAAAAAAGGCTGTGTTTTTGATTCTCCCCAGACCTCTTTTTGGTCTACACAGAGAATAGTGTTAAGCCTCATCACGTGCTAACTAATCTCAGCCGCTGCTGCAGATGCCACTTCTTACCCTTGGCAAATAAACATAGCTCTTGGTAACTGGTACATAGGTACTGATCTGGAAAACACTTTATATTTTCTGTCCAGTGGCAGAGAACATCAGCAGCTGACAAGAATATTTTCATCTGTCTTCCACCAGGACTATATACTGGTCTACTCCTTGAATGACACATAGAACCTGATGAACTGGAAGCAGCAGGTACTTGAGGACGCACTAATAATGTGAATACTATAAAATGGAGATAACCCCTTGGATATATGAAGCATGTAATATCTATGAAGTTCTGGTGGTGTAAAGGTCAGGGGTGTGCATCAGGATATCCTTTCCTAAGTTAAGCTGTGTCTTTTTTTTTTTTAGAAGAGAGAGTGAGAGAGGAGAGAGAGAGAGAATTTTTAATATTTATTTTTTAGTTCTCGGCGGACACAACATCTTTGTTGGTATGTGGTGCTGAGGATCGAACCCGGGCCACACGCATGCCAGGCGAGCGCGCTACCGCTTGAGCCACATCCCCAGCCCAGCTGTGTTGTGTCTTGCATCCCCTTCTACTATGGAGACTTTTGGATCCTAGAATGGACACACATCACATCTAAATGTTCTAGTATGAATTCTCTAACTGTTGATCTAGAAGGATGCCAAGCTGAGGGTACTATATGCTGCTCCAAGTACCTAGGCTGACTCAGATGCTGAATGGACCACAACTGACAGAGGCTACCTCATGGCTCCCTTCCTCCATCTTCAAAGCCAGCCCTTGACGTGTGAAGTCAAGTCCTTTTCATGTTTCTCTGACTCAATGTTCTCTCTGCATCTCTTGCTCACTGACCACAGCTGGGAAAGCCTCTCTCCTTTTAAGGAGTCATGATTAGCTTTGGTGCATTCTAAAAATCTCCATACCTTAAATATGTCATGATAGGACAACATTACTGGGGGTGGGGGTCATTATTCTGCCCTCCAAAGTTGTGGTATCTCTGCACCTCAGCTGCCTACTTATAAAATGAGGACCACAGTACATACCTGTGGTGGAGACTCAGAGACTCTGCCCCAAATGTCATTCCCCACTTCATTTCTGAATAACAAACCCCTCTGTGTACACCACTTTCTTAAAGCTGGACATAAAAAGTTTCCCAGCTAGAAACTCCAAATACTGTCTTCTTTTAGAGCCTGGTTGTGCTCACGTGAATCAACCTTGACTGATGGGTATGAGCAGAAGTGATAGACATAATTTCTGCAGTACTTRCAATTTAAAGAAAAGCTGACAGCCTGACAACTTGTCTCCTTTTTTCTCCTTTCCTATGCTGGAGAGTAAATGTGGTCACAACCCTGGCACACTTACGAAGGTAAGAACACCATGCTTAGGGAATGGTGAGGCAGTGACGTAAAGGAACCTGGATCTCTGAGTGACCTCATGGGACAACCCTATCGGCATGGCAGGACTTGACTGTTACAGGAGAAACAGACTCCTGTAGAACTTAAGGTGCTATATTTTAGTAAGTCAGTATTTGTAAAGTGCTCGGTCACATATGGAACACCACACAAGTAATGGTTATTATTACTAATACATTACTTTGTATTCTAGCAGTTGGCAATTCTACTTAATGTCTTAGCATCAGCATCTTAGAACAAAGACATAAGCAGCAATTGTGTAATCTAAACAATGTGTTACACTCATTTATCTAGACAATAAGGGGAGGGGAAACATTTCTTGAATGCATATGTGCTATATGACTTCTGAAGTTGCTCCAAGAGTCTACAGAGATAAGGAAACAGGCTAAGTGTAGATATATTCCTTGAGGTTACCCTAGACTAAAATGACTTGGGCTTGTTCCCCCGACAAAACACTCTGCCCCCCTGACCAAATGCAGGTTAGCTGGGGAGTCAAGTCAGTGACAAGTCCTACTCACATAGATGTTCGGTACTTGATGTCATCCTTTTCAGCCAGCTCTTCACAGGTAAGGCCATTATGTTCTTTCCAGAGTCCCTGACACTTCCTACAGGTCTCCTGGGGAAAAAGGACAGAGATAAAGGCAGCTTCTGGTGAGTGCAGGCCATACAAACTCCCATTCAACAAAAGGTGTGAAACATGCTTCATGGGGCTTGGAATCTCTTGGAGGCCCTCCCTCCCTGTCAGCAGGGCTATTTCTAAAGTCATCTCTCAGAAGAAAGAGTTAAACAGCATCAGAAGAAGGCAGGAGGACAGTGTTCCTTCTTAATCTAAAGAAAGTGTGCTCCCACTACCTAGTTTGTGTAAGTTTTCTGAAATGCAGCAGGATACCTGGAAATACCATAAGAGAGATTCTTGGGTCTTTTTTTTTTTGTTGTTGTTGTTGTTGTTAAATATTTATTTTTTAGCTGTAGTTGGACACAATACCTTTATTTTTTTTATTTATTTTTATGTGGTTCTGAGGATCAAACCCAGGGCCTCATACATTCTAAACAGAATGTGTTCTACAGCTGAACCACAACCCCAGCCCCAGATTCTTGAGTCTTTAAAAATAAAATGCTGCTGAGCTGCTTAAAGGTGGGGTCTGTCTGGATCTTAATCTCCCCAATCCCTATGTCCAGTCCTCTGGCATGGGACTGAGGAAAAGTCTAGATTAGGATCATCAGTTCCCTAAGGAAGACATTCTCTCTACCATGCATCACTCATAAATATGGATGTCATACCGCACAGTTTAATTTCATTTACAAATAAAAATTTAAAACAATCATCATCCTTTAATATAGGATTCTTCACAGTTTATAAAACCCACAGTATTTTAGTTAGTTTTTTCATTGCTATGACCAAAAGACCTAACAAGAACAATATAGAGGAGGGAAAGTTTATTTGGGGCTCATGGTTTCAGTTTACAGATGGCTTTTGGGGGATGGAGTAGAATGTTAAGATTTAGATATGAGGTGTTCCCCCAAAAGCTCATGCATGAGACAAGGCAAGGAAGTTCAGAGGTTAAATGATTGGGTTATGAGAGCCTAGACCTAACCAGTTCATTAATCCACTAATATGGATTAAATGGACTGTAACTATAGACAGGTAAGGAGTAGCTAGAGGAGGTGGGTCACTGTGGGTGTGCCATTGGGGTTTATATTTTGTCCCTGGTGAGCAGAGAGCTCTCCCTGCTTCTTTGTTGCCAAGTMCTGAGCTGTTTCCCTATGCCACAACCTTCTGCAATGATGTTCTGTGTCATTTCTGGCCCAAAGCTATGGAGTCAGGCATGTAAGGACTGAGCGCTCTGAAACTCTGAGTCCCAAATAACCTTTTTCTCCGCTACATTATTCTTGCCAGGTCTTCTGGTCACAATGATGAAAGAGCTGACTAAAACACATACCAATAACAAGAACTTGCTGGTGTGGAGGTGTATGGCTGTAATCCCAGCCTCCTGGGAATCTGGGGCAGAAGGGATGGTGAATTCAAGGCCAACCTGGGCAACTGAGAGAGACCCTGTCTCAAAGTAGGCTGGAGATGTAGCACAGTGGTAAAGTGCTTGCCTAACATACAAAAGGCTCTGGATTAGATTCCCTGTACTGCAAAACAAAAACAACCCCCCCCCCAAAAACAATAGCAAAACCCCAAAGACCATGGACATAAATTAAAATTCCAATCCTAATAAGTACAGTGGAGGAAAAGAGTGTGATTGGCTTTGTCTGGGGACCTGACCTAGTCTGGGAGATAGGGAAGGATTTAAGAAGTAAAGTCTGAGATTTGAAAAACGAGTCTGTGATACCTAGATGGGCTGGTGAGAATAGGAGAGCCTGCCAGGCAGAGGACAGCAGCAACAGATGTTAGTTAGTAGGCAAAGCGGGGCAAGTGAGTTCCTGTAGCTAACTGCGGGCTGTGCACTCTACCATTAAGCTACATTTCAGATCTTATTTTTATTTTTATTTTGAGATAGGGTCTTGCTAAGTTGCCCAGGCTGGACTTGAAATTGTGATTTTCCTGACTCAAGTCTCAGGAGTTGCTGGAGTTTTAGACATGTGTCACTGTGTCCAGCAGGGTTAGATAATTCCGGATGGAAAAAAAAAAAAAAAATGTAAGGAGGAAAGAGTGGCAATGCAGGAGACGGGAGCTAGCATGGTCATCCAGGAAAGGGACAAAGGAAGCCCAGACCAGGGAAATGGGTAAGGAAGTGAAGAGAAGGGGATTTACTTGGGAGAAACTGAGTAAGCAAGATGGCAGGCTTGAGTATGGGGTGTGGGTACCAAGGATGAGGACTTAGCTCCTAGTTTATGCAACCAAAGATAACAGCAACCCTGAGCTTTGGATGGAGAGATATAGGTGTGAAGATCCTAAGTCTGACCTGGATGGTGATGACAGTGGGGACCACTGGGACACACCATGGGGATATGAGGTAGGGGGTCTGGGTAAATATTTACCATTTAGGAGTAGGCAGTAGAGAAATGCCAGAGGCCACTAGAAATGTACAAGGTTAGAGCTTCACATCAATTCTAGAAACATTCTACAGGTGAACTTTCACTTGTTACATAAAGTGAGTTTAAGGAGACTAACGAGGCAAATAACAGTACATATGGAATAGATGATTCCAGTTCCATATTAGAAAGGTGGTAGTGGTAGCTGCAGGGAAGATCTGTGATGCAATCTATCTGCAAGGATACCCAAGGAACAGGCAATGCTGATAGCTCTTGAGTGGCTACAAGGCAGGGGCAAGACTTTACTGTAGATCTTTTGTACTCCTTGTATTTTATTATCTGTTTGTCTGTCTTATCTATCTATCCATCCACACACCCATCAATCCACCTATCTATCTTATCTAAAAAATAAATAAAATTTAAAGAGAGAAATTTGAAATGGATGGCTCAGGAAGTTGAGAACCTTCACACTCTTTAGTGGGATGTTGAAAAATCTCCAATCAATGGGGTGGGATGAAGTGGGGTTAGAGATGAGCTCATGGGAGTCTGTACTTCAATGCCATTGCTTCCAAGGGACATGGATATTCTTTGGTCCATTACTTGCATCCTGTGCAGTAAATATACTCAATCAGCAGTGTGCTTAATTATTACCTACTAAAATGTATAGCAGCACAAAATTGTTTTTAAAAGAACTTATGCCTGACTATTCCAGGAAACTAGCTGAAAAACAACAGCTGGAGAATAGATGAGCTGGTATTTGAATCCTAACTCTCCAAACAATACTGGAATAACCACCCATAGGAATAAYATCTTGAAAACAATACACGGCTTTGAGGTAGTGCTGCTTAGCATTCTTGGTCATTCAGTTATTCTCCTAAAAAAAGAAGCCCCATTTTCAAGGTGAGGCACAGGTTCACTAGGGCAAAATGACCTGGCTATGCTGGAGACTGTGGTGTGAGAGTCTGAGGTGCTGGGAAGTTCTCGGCTCACATTCAATACCACAGGGGTTCTCCTTTGGCTCAGTGTGTTGGTTTTCAGCTACTGTACTTTTTTCTTACTGAAGGATCTGCAGATCCCAGAGAAAAAGCCCAAACTATCATTTTTTTTTTTCTTCCTACTGGTATTGGGGTTTGAACTCAAGGGCATTCTATCACTGAGCTATGCCCCCAATCCCATATGTATGTATATATATAATTTTTTTKGGGGGGGCGGGCATCAGGGATTGAACTCAGGGGCACTCAACCACTGAGTCACATCCCCAGCCCTATTTTGTATTTTATTTAGAGACAGGGTCTCACTGAGTTGCTTAGTGCCTCGCTGTTGCTGAGGTTGGCTTTGAACTCTGAATTTCCAGTCTCAGCCTCCCAAGCTGCTGGGATTAGAGGCGTGTACCACCACGCCCAGCTAGCTATATATTTAAATTTTGAGACAGGGTCTTGCTAAGTTGCCTAGGCTGGTCTTGATCTTGAAATCCTCCTGCCTTAGCCTCCCAAACAGCTGGGATTATAGGCATGTATCACTGCACCCAGCTGTGAACAATCATTCCTCCCCACCCCCAAATAAGTAGTAACAACATTTAACTCAATGTGCTGAAATGCAAAAAACATTTTTAGCAACAAGATACAAGTAGAATCTTATCATTAATATCAACTGATTAAAAATGAGGCTGAAAGTCCAATAAAATTTTCTACACTTGAATCTTGAAAGTCAACTTCCCTCAGAACTAATATAAATAATTTCAGCAGAAYTGTATTAAAAAAATGTAGCACGATTTTGAAAAAAAATAAAGAATGCAAAATTAACTGGGTAACAGTATACAATGATAAACTCTAATAACAGAAAAAGATCTGAACCATCTTGCTGGGGTTGTGGCTCAGTGGTAGAGCGCTCACCTAGCATGTGCGAGGCACTGGGTTTGATCCTCAGCACTACATAAAAATAAAATAAAGGTATTGTGTCCAACTACAACTAAAAAAGAAAAAAGAAAAAAAAAGAAAAGAAAAAAGATCTGAACCATCTTTTTAAGATATGGGCTCGGGGGCTGGGATTATGGCTCAGAGGCTAGAGCGCTAGCCTAGCACGGGCAGAACCCAGGTGTGATTCTCAGCACCACATAAAAATAGAGGCATTGTGTTGTGTCCATCTACACCTAAAAAATAATAAAGATATGGGTCGGGGTTGTGGCTCAGTACCACATAAAAATAAATAAACAAAATAAAGATATTGTGTCCATGTATAAGTAAGAAAAATTTAAAAATACAGATATTATGTTGCTAGATACAGAAACCCACAATTAAAATACRGTGGGGAATATAGAAAGCCAGGCAAAGTTAACATTTGGTACTCTGTGTATTTTCTTTAGAATACACCTCTTTTAGTGTACATTTTGCTAAAGTGTAATTCTCTCCCCTGAAAGGCTGCTAAGCTTTCTTCCTAAACAACAAAATTAGGCAGAAGAAATCCTTCCGTAGCATGAATATAACTATGCCCTCTTCAAACTGAAGTTGGAGCACGCGTACTGGTTAAAATCTGGGCAGCTACCAATCTGTGTACTTCTTGCTACCTGGGAGGGCTGCTTGTTCAGTTTATGATGCTCTTTAGTCCTCAAAACTCATCAAAATGACTGACTACATGCTC